GATGTATTTCCAGGTTAGGTTGGGAAGTGCTAAGAGAGGAACTGGTGGTGTTCCTGTGTAGCTGCTGCCACTGGGCTTCAAAATGGTTTTGTCTGAGGAGCCATGGTGAATTTCTGCAGTGCGTCTTGTCGATGGTGCATGCTACTGCTACTGTGCTTAGCAGGGAGTAACTATTTCCGGCTGTGGTGCCAAATACATGAGCTGCTTTTTCCTGACTGTTGTCAAGTTTCCTGAGTGTTGTTGGAGCTGTACTCATGTGGAGTATTCCATCACATTCGTGACTCTGCCTGGTAAACGATGTACAAATTTTGGGAGTCAGGAGGAGAGTTATATGCTGCAGCATTCCTATAATCAAGGAGCAATGGTTAGATTATCTCCTATTGGAGATGGTTATGGCCCGGCATTTGTATGGCACAAATGTTACTTGCCACTTTGCAGCTGAAGCCTGGATATTGTCCAGATCTTGTTATATTGGAACACGGACTGCTTCAGTATCTGAGGAGTTGCGAATGATGCTAAACATTGTGCAATCATCGGCGAACATCCCCACTTCTGACCTTATGATGGAAGGAAGGTCATTGATGAAGCAGCGGAAGATGGTTAGGCCCAGGGCATTCTCCTGAGGAACCCCTCTGGAAAAGTCCTGGACCTAAGATGACTGACCTCCAACAGCCACATTCATCTTCCTTGTTGCAAGGAATGATTCCATGATCTGGAAGTGCCAGGGTTGGACTGAGGTGGACAAAGTCAAAAATCACACAACACCGGGTTCTAGTCCAACAGGTTTATTTGAAATCACAAGCTTTCGGAGCGCAGCCCCTTCGTCAGGTGCAGAGAGAGGAGAGCGCACAGACATAGTGTTTATAGGCAGAGGGATGAAGGGCAGAGAGATCAAAGGATCATACAACTGGTGTGAGTGGAGTGAACAAACTTAAAATGGCTGGCTGGCTGCCATTTGTTGAATCTTTAAATATTCATACATTCTAGAAATTGCAGAAGCAGGATATGGAGAGTTCCATTAGAAAGGGGATAGAAGCTGGGAGTTCCCTGTACAATGGGTTTCAAGATGGCCTCAATATCGTCAGAGGGGTTCTCACACAGGGTCCCATTGCCTGATACGATGGGACGTCCAGGCTTGTTGGCTTTGTGTATCTTTGGAAGGTAGTAGAAGTCCCCTACACGAGAACTACGCGAGATGAGAGTGCATAGGGTACTCTGAAGGATTAGGTTAAAAGTCTTGATCAGTCTGTTGAGTTGACAGGTGTGTTCTTTGGTCGGATTGGCAGGTAACTGTCTGTAGTGTTCCCGGTTGTTCAGTTGTTGGTACACTTTCTTGTAGTAGTCCACTCTTTTCTGTATGACGATGGCTCCTCCTTTGTCTGCTGGTTTGATGACAATGTTGCAATTGGTCTTGACAGCATGGATGGCGTTGCGTTGTGCCTGGGTGACGTTTTACACTACCTTGTGAGTGCAGCTGATGCTGTTAACACATCTCCTGACAGCTTGAGCATACATGTTGAGCTTGGAGCAGCAGCCTTCCAGAGGGGTCCAATTTGACTCCTTCCTCTTTGGTTGCTGCACTGCGTATCTCTCTGTCGACTGTTCCAGCTCATTGGTTGTCTCATTGGGCTTGCTGCTGACATCTTGGGGTTTGCAGAAGAATTCCTGGAGCTTCGTTCACCTGATAAATTCCTGATGTACAAGGAGCACCCCCCCCCCCACCCCCAAACTTCTGTCGTGACTCTACAGATTTCTTACAGAAACTCAGCACCCATGGACCAGTCTAACCAGGAATGTTCCTCCCACAGCGGATGTTTCGGCACTCTACACCAGCATCACCCATGAGGACAGCATCACTGCAAGAGCCTCAGTACTCAATACCACCAACTGCCAATTCCCAGACGCCATCCTATAACTCACCCACTTGATCCTCGACCACAACATCGTCACCTTCGACAATCAGTTCTTCAATCAGACACATGGAACAGCCATGGGGACCAAATTTGCACCCAATGGGCCAACATTTTCATGCACAAGTTCAAGCTACACAGGACCTCCAACCAATGCTGTACACCAGATATACCGATGACATTTTCTTCCTTTGGACTCATGGTGAGGAATCACTGAAACGATTACATAGTGATATCAACAAGTTTCATCCCACCATCAGGCTTACCATGGACTACTCTTCAGAATCAGACTCATGCTTGAACACACGCATCTTCATCAAGAACGGACACCTCAGTATCTCACTCTACCGCAAGCCTATGGATAACCTCACGCTGCTGCACTCCTCGAGTTTCCACCCTAAAAATATTAAAAAAGCCATCCCCTATAGACAGGCCCCGCGTATACACAGGATCTGCTTAGATGAGCAGGAATGTGACAAACACCTGAAAGTTTTGAAAGATGCCCTCATAAGTACAGGATATGATGCTCAACTCATCGATCGCCAGTTCTGACTTACCTCAGAAGACAGACACAGGATACGACAGATAGAGTACCCTTTGTCATTCAGTACTTCCCTGGAGTGGAGAAACTACGCCATGTTCTTCACAGCCTTCAACATATCATCGATGACCATGAGCATCTTGCCAAGATCTTCCCCATGCCTCTACTTCTCGCCTTCAAACAACCACCAAACCTTAAACAGATAATTGTTTGCAGCGAACTACCCAGCCTTCAAGACAACATTGACCACAACATCACACAACCCTGTCATGGCAAACTTTGCAAGACATGTCAGTTCTTTAACATGGATACTACCATCACACGTGGGACACCACCCACCACATGCACGGCAGATACTTATGTGACTTGGCCAACGTTGTCTATCTCATATGCTGCAGGCAAGGATGTCCCAAGGTATGGTATATTAGTGAGACCATGCAAAAGTTATGACAACAGATGAATGGACACTGCACAACCAATGCTAGACAGGGATGTTCCCTCCCAGTAGGGGAACACTTCAGTGGTCAAGGACATTCAGCCTCCAATCTTCAGGTAAGCGTCCTCCAAGACAGACTTTGGGAACATAATAACGCAGAGTCGCTGAGCAGAGATTGATAGCCAAATTCTGTACCCATGAAGATGGCCCCAACCGTGATCTTGGGTTCATGTCGTGCTACATGTAACCCCACCACACTGTGTTTTGTGTCAGTAAAATCTTCCTCACTGTCCTGTTTTGAAAGCATTGCCTTGATTAATTGAGGTAGAGAGATCATATCAATTTGTTTGAACAGTTTTGTATTAACTCTCATGCGCACGCTCTGTCTCATGCGCACGCTCTCTGTCACGTGCACGCTCTCTCTCACACGCATGCTCTCTCACACGCACGCTCTGTCACGCGCACGCTCTCTCATGCGCATGCTCACTCTCACACGCATGCTGACTCTCGTGCACTCTCTCTCTCACACGCACTCTCATGCATGCACTCTCTCACTCACGCACTCTCTTTCACATTGATGCACTCTCTTTCTCTCTCTCTCACACACACCCACATATCTATGGGGTGAATTATTTCATCCAAGATGTTTGTTTATTTGCAGATACATTCTATTTTGTTTGAGAAACACACAATTTATAGTCACAGACAATCAATGTGGCATTTTATAAATTCCAGCTTTCAGAACAGAACCGACCTCATTCCAGTTAAAATTCTGAGACAGGTTCTAAATAAGGCCTCACAACTACAGTTCAGTTTCTGACCTGAGATATCACCTTTTGTGTATTCCTATTACTCTGCCTGATTGAAGTTTGCAAAGTTAGGCAGACACTGATGAAACCTTTAGTTATCTGAGGGCAGTGACTTGAAACAGATTCTGGACTTTGCGTCTTAATCAGTCGAAACTCACATCCCCTTTCTAACAGAGTTCTCCATATCCTGCTTCTGCAATTTCTAGAATGCAGGAATGGATGAATGATTAAAGATTCGACAGGAGGCAGTCAGCCAGCCATTTTAGGTTTGATCACTTGCCACGGCAGATGGTAGAAATTGAATTCAATATATATCTGGAATTAAGAGTCTAACGATGACCATAAATCCATTGCTGATTGCTGCCTGGCCAGTGATGCCCTCACCCGGTGAATGAATTAAAAAAAACCTCTACTCACACCAGTTGTATGATCCTTTGATCTCTCTGCGCTTCATCCCTCTGTCTATAAACACTGTGTCTGTGTGCTGTCCTCTCTCTGCGCCTGAAGAAGGGGCTGCGCTTCGAAAGCTTGTGATTTCAAATAAACCTGTTGGACTAGAACCTGGTATCATGTGAGGAATGATTCCAAACAGTGGAGAGTTTTCTTCCTGATTCCTTTTGACTCCAATCTTGCTAGGCCTCCTTAACGCTGCAGTCAGTCAAATGTCACCTTGATGTCAAAGGTAGTCACTGTCATCTCTCCTGTGGAGCTCAGCTTGGATTGTCCATACTTGAGTAAAGACTCCTAATGAGGTGAGGTATTGAGTGGCCCTGGTGGAATCAAAACTGAAACTGTTTATTGGTAAGCAAGTGTTGATTAATAGTACTCTTGATTACACCTTCCATCATCTTACTGATGATCGAGAGTAGTCTGATCGGGGAGTAATTGGTGGAGTTGGATTTGTCTTTTTTTTTGTGTACAGGACATAGTTGGGTGATTTTTCTCATTTTTGGGTAGATGCTAGTGTTGTAGCTGTACTGGAACAGCTTGACATTAAAATTATGCTACCTGCAAGATCTTCTCCAAGCTACACACCATCCTGACTTGGAATTATATTGCTGTTCCTACAATGGGTAAAAATTCTGTCTACCTCCATTCACTCCAAGATCCTGAGACTGCAACTGAATAAAATGGAGTCCAGAGTGTTCCTGATCCCTGTAAATCTGTTTCACTTGCAGTACTGATTTCCATAGCACTGGTATGTTGAACCCTGAGCTCAAAGTGAGCAATGCCAGGTGAAGATCTGGTATTTGGTGATGATAGCTTTATTGCAGGTTTATTGTAATCACATTTCTCTGCTTCAGATCATAGGGATTTTCACCTCAGTGGCAGAAGAGGCAAAGAAGTCATCACGAAGTAAACACCTGGTGACATTCACTGAATTTGCAGTTTACACTCGAGAGAAGATAATGACTTTCACAGGAAGGAACAGAAGCAGAGAAGCAGACCATTATCCAACTCAAGGAAATGTAAAGCTCTAAATACATTGTACTCAGAATATACCACAGTATCAGCCTGAAGCTCTGGTTCACTGTAGCCTGCAGTGATAGGATGTATATTTGTCTTCGTAATCCCATAGCCATTTTGTCCACATGAAGATTTTGGGTCAAGCTTTAGAACTGCTCTGGTTCTATGTAGTGCTGGTGAAATGTCGGCAGTAAACTACCTGCCATTTTCGCTGTTGATGGTGGTAAAAGGTAAAATATGATAAATACAGGAGTCTTCAGAAGTGAAATGAAGTTTCATCTTGGAAACAGAAGGAAAGCAAATGGGACAGGAACGAATGGAGTAAAATTGGAATCTAAGTTATTCCTTTCTTTCTTGAATACTTATCTTCTGAGTCATCTACCAAAGGGAAGATCCTGTCTTCATTTCTCCATACCACATAGCCTTGATGCTTTCATCTTTGGTTGCTCTTATATGCCTCCAATTTTCACTTTCGAATTATCTTACCATCCCCAATCTCTTTCTCCCTGCACCTGTCTAAGCTTACTTCAATACCTCCAGCACATTCTCATCGCTTAAAATATGACATCCACAAGGAAAGGGATCATTTTTAAATTAACCTTGTTGCAACCAACTAAGGGAGTGTTTGAGTGAAAGAAAGGGAGCCAGTTTATCCCTCCTCAACTGGGAGGTTAACTGTTTGGGATTTCCTGTCTGGATGCATAACATTTTGGGCAACCTTGCCCAGGATCTGGTTCATAGAGTCATACAGCACGGAGGCAGACCCTTCGGTCCAATTAGTCCATGCCGACCATGTTCCCAAACTAAATTAGTCCCACCTGCCTACACTTGACCCATATCCCTCCAAACTTTTCCTATTCATGTACTTACCAAAATGTCTTTTAAATATTGTAACTGTATCTGCATTCACCACTTCCTCTGGCAGTAAATTCCACACACGAACCACTTTCTGTGTTCAAAAAATTGTTGCCCCCATGTTCTTTTTATAACTTTCAGCTCTCACCTTAAAAATATTCCTTGTTTGTTTTACCAAAATGCAATACCACGTTTTTATCCAAATTAAAAACTCCATCTGCCACTCGTCACCCGTTGACCCAATTGACCAAGGTCTTTTTGTAATCGTAGATAACTTTCTTCACTGTCCGTTATACAACCAATTTTGTTGTTATCTGCACACATATGAACCATGCCTCCTATATTCTCATCCACATTGTTTTCAGTACTAATTACCATGGAACATGGCTGGTCACTGGCCTCCAGTCCAAAAAACATCCCTCCAACACCCTCTGTCTCCTCCCAACATGCAAATTTTGTATCCAATAGGCAAGCTCATCCTGAATCCCACATGATCTAATTTTACTAATTAGTCTATCATACAAAACCTTGTCGAAGGCTTTACTGAAGTCCACATAAACAATGTCTTAGCTCTGTTCTCATTAATCTTTTTGGTTACTTCCTCAAAAAAAACCTCAATCAAGTTTGTGAGATACTATCTCCCTTGCACAAAACCATGCCGACTATCGCTAATCAGTCATTGCCTCTCCAAATGCATGTAAATCCTCTCTTTCAGAATCACGTCCAACAACTTACTCATCACTGATGTCAGGCTTACAGGTGGATAGTCCCAGGTTTCTCCCTACAGCCTTTCTTAAATAAAGGCACAACATTAGCCACCCTCCAGTCTTCCAGCCCATTACCTGTGGTTAAAGATGTGGCAAATATTTCTGCCAGGGGCCCCACAATTTTTTTCCTAACTTCCCACAATGTCCTGGGATACACTTGATCAGGTTATAGACATGATCTTCCCACAGCAGTATTCTATTCCACAACATGGCTCTGTTTCTTGTTACGTAGCCAAGTTTATCTCATTTTGTTTCCTTCAAATGTGTTAACACCAATGTAAACAAGAGCCATTTCCCTTTTCCAGTGTCTCATTGGTATCATTCTTTTCACAAGCACTATTGTTGTTATGCCAATATTCCACTGCAAGATGTTTAGAGGCTGAAAATTGAGACAAGAATTCTTTCATATTGCTCTGGTTCTGATGTGGGATTTCTCTTAATGACTTGATGCACCTTGTGTATCCTGGACTGAAAGATTCTGCTAGATGATGAGACAGCACATTTAAATGAGTGTATTTTCACTGCATAAATTCTAAGCATTTGCAGAATTGAGAGAGCAGTTGGGCCTTGACTAGAATTGGGCACAGATGAAGACTTCCATTGTAAATGTGCTCTGAAATAATTCTGAAAAAACATACTTGTATTGTACTTGATCAACAGCAATGGAACTTATGGTGTCAAAAGAGATATTGTTTTCAAATTGCTATGTGGTCCAATATGACTTCAGAATAATGACAACACTTTGATGTTCATTTATTTTGCATATGTAAGGTCATTCTTGTGTGCTGGAAAAGGAAATGATTCTTTTCCTGCTGCAGTGAAAATAATGCAGTCAAGTTTAGGAAAAGTTTAACACACTCATCTGTTAAATATTTTCAAAAGGATCAAAAAATGTCTGCTTTTTTAACGAGACAGGAAAGAATCAATTCTGACATGTATAATACCTTGCAGTTGAGTTGTAATTTGCGTAACTAAAGTCAAAGCCAAAATATATTTATGAAAATCTTTGATTCAGCACAAAAGAGGCTTTTCAGCCCATCATGTCTGTGCTAGCTCTTTTGAAACAGCAGATCATATGAATATACACATTAGGAGCAGAAGTAGATCACTTGATCCTTCAAGCCTGTTCCACCGTGCAGTACAACCATAGCTGAGGAAGAAAGTTCCAAAGACTTGCAACCCAAAGACTTGTGAGAAACCAATTCTCCTTCTTTCTGTCTTAAGTGAGTGACCCTAGATTCTCCTACGTCTTTTCCACTTGCGCCTTGTTGATATAAATTGAAAAATGTTGGGCCTCAGCACTGATCCCTGTGGGACATCGCTAGTTTCATCTTTCCAACAAGAAAATGACACCATGCCTACTCCCTGTTTCTTATTAACCATACAATCTTCAATCTATCAAACTACATTACACCCTACACTGAGTTTTGAATTTCTGTAGGAACTTTTTGAAGTTACACATTATCAAATACCTTCTGCAAATCCATGTTCAGTAGCTCCACAAGTTTCCTTTTATTCTCAGCACATGTTCCTTCCACAAACAACTCCAATTAATTTGTTAAACATGATCTACCTTTCAAAAAAGAGACAACAAGGTGCAGGGCTGGATGAACACAGCAGGCCAAGCAGCATCATAGGAGCAGAGAGGCTGACGTTTCGGGCCTAGACCCTTCATCAGAAAAGGGGGAGGCGAAGGGGGTTCTGAAATAAATAGGGAGAGAGTGGGAGGCGGATAGAAGAGAAATAGAGGAGAGGATAGGTGGAGAGGAAACAAACAGGTCGAAGAGGCGGGGATGGAGCCAGTAAAGATGAGTGTAGGTGGGGAGTTAGGGAGGGGATAGGTCAGTCCAGGGAGGACGGACAGGTCAAGGGGGCGGGATGAGGTTAGTCGGTAGGAGATGGGGGTGCGGCTTGAGGTGGGAGGAGGGGATAGGTGGGAGGAAGAACAGGTTAGGGAGGCGGGGACGAGCTGGACTGGTTTTGGGATGTGGTAGGGGGAGGGGAGATTTTGAAGCTTGTGAAATCCACATTGATACCATTGGGCTGCAGGATTCCCAAGCGGAATATGAGTTGCTGTTCTTGCAACCTTTGGGTGGCATCGTTGTGGCACTGCAGGAGGCCCAGGATGGACATCTTGTCTGAGGAATGGGAGGGGGAGTTGAAATGGTTCGCGACTGGGAGGTGCAGTTGTTTATTGCGAACCGAGCGTAAGTGTTCTGCAAAGCGGTCCCCGAGCCTCCGCTTGGTTTCCCCAATGTAGAGGAAGCCACACCGGGTACAGCGGATGCAGTATACCACATTGGCAGATGTGCAGGTGAACATCTGCTTGATGTGGAAAGTCTTCTTGGGGCCTGGGATGGGGGTGAGGGAGGAGGTATGGGGGCAGGTGTAGCACTTCCTGCGGTTGCAGGGAAAAGTGCCGGGTGTGGTGAGGCTGGAGGAGAGTGTGGAGCGGACAAGGGAGTCACGGAGAGAGTGGTCCCTCCGGAAAGCAGATAAGGGTGGGGAGGGAAAGATGTCTTTGGTGGTGGGGTCGGATTGCAGATGGCAGAAGTGTCGGAGGATGATGTGTTGGATCCGGAGGTTGGTGGGGTGGTACGTGAGGACGAGGAGGATTCTTTTTTGGTTCTTATTGCGTGGACGGGGTGTGAGGGATGAGTTGCGGGAGATGTGGGAGACACGGTTGAGGGCGTTCTCGACCACTGACGGGGGGATGTCACAGTCCTTGAAAAACGAGGACAACTGAGAAGAACGGGAGTGGAATGCCTCATCCTGGGAGCAGATGCAGCGGAGGCGAAGGAATTGGGAATAGGGGATAGCATTTTTGCAGGAAGGTGAGTGGGAGGAGGAGTATTCTAGGTAGCTGTGGGAGTCGGTGGGCTTGAAATGAATATCGGTTTCTAGGTGGTTGCCCGAGATGGAGATGGTTGCCGAGAGGTCCAGGAAGGGGAGAGAGGTATTAGAGATGGTCCAGGTAAACTTAAGGTTGGGGTGGAAGGTGTTGGTGAAATGGATGAACTGTTCGAGCTCCTCGTGGGAGCACGAGGCGGCGCCGATACAGTCATCAATATAACGGAGGAAGAGGTGGGGTTTAGGGCCAGTGTAGGTACGGAAGAGGGATTGTTCCACGTAACCTACAAAGAGGCAGGCGTAGCTTGGGCCCATGCGGGTACCCATGGCCACCCCCTTTGTCTGTAGGAAGTGGGAGGAATTGAAGGAGAAGTTGTTGAGGGTGAGGACGAGTTCGGCTAAGCGGATGAGGGTGTCAGTGGAGGGGGACTGGTCGGGCCTGCGGGACAGGAAGAAGCGGAGGGCCTTTAGGCCTTTACCATGGACGTCCAGTCCGTCTACACCTGCATTCCCCATACAGAAAAAAAGCCAGACGCCAACTCTCCGACACCTCCTCCTACCACCCCCTTGATCATGACCCCACCCCTGAGCACCAAACCATCATCTCCCAAACCATCCACAACCTCATCACCTCAGGTGACCTCCCACCCACGGCCTCCAACCTCATCGTTCCCCAACCCCGCACTGCCCGCTTCTATCTCCTTCCCAAAATCCACAAACCTGAATGCCCTGGTCGACCCATTGTCTCCGCCTGCTCCTGCCCCACCGAACTGATCTCCAACTATCTGGACTCCATTTACTCCCCCTTGGTCCAGGAACTCCCTACCTATGTCAGTGACACCACCCACGCCCTCCACCTCCTCCAGAACTTCCAATTCCCTGGTCCCCAACACCTCATCTTTACCATGGACATCCAGTCCCTATACACTTGCATTCCCCATACAGAAAAGCCCACCGCCGGGCCTCCCTTTCAAAACCTTGTTAACTCTGATTACCTGAAGTTTATCTTATTGGCCTGCAGTAAAGTCTTTAATAAAAGCTTTAATAAACTGTCTTCAGTTACATTTTCCCTATGACATATATTCAGCTAACTAGCCTAGGGTTTCCTGCTTTCTTTCCCTTTTTGAATAAAGGAATTAAATTCTCTATTTTCCACTTGAATTTAACTTTCTCTGAACTGGAAAGTTAGAACCAAAGCACTAACTATCTCACTAGCCAGTTCTTTTAAGACCCAGGATCAAGTTGATTAGCACCTGGTGACTTGTCAACCCTTGAAATAACTCCACAGAGGCTGGTATCCCATCACCAGGTCATCCTTTATTTACACGTGGAAAATCCTTGACACTGATCCAGCTCTCTGAGAGCCAGCTCTCACAGTGAACAGAACCTCTGATGCAGAAATGCTTACGCACATTGGCTCAGTGGTTAGCACTGCTGCCTCACAGTGCTAGGGACCTGGGTTCGATTCCACCCTCGGGCGACTGTCTGTGTGGAGTTTGCATATTCTCCCTGTGTCTGCGTGTGTTTCCATTAGGTGCTCTGGTTTCCTCCCACAGTCCAAAGATATGCATGTTAGGTGGATTGACCATGCTAAATTACCCATAGTGTTCAGGGGTGTAGGTGGGTCAGCCATGGGAAATTCAGGATAGGGTAGGGGATAGGCCTGGGTGGGATGCTCTTTGGAGAGTTGGTGTTGACATGTTGGGCCAAATGGCCTGCGTCCACACTGTAGGGATTCTTTGGAATTCTATGGAGTCCAAGGAACTCAAAGAGGCCTGTTGCGAGTGAATTTCTTCAGGAATGTGCTTTTCTCTCATCACCACTGAAATAATTCCACAAAGGCCAGTATCCTGTCACCAAGTCACCCTTTATTTATGTGGAAAGTCCTGATCCTGCTTCCACAGAGCCAGCTCTCAGAGGGGACAGAACCTCTGACACTGCTGTTCTTACTTGTCAGCCAAAGTTCCCTGATTGGACCAAATTAACAACCTCAATCAGGGACCTCAGAATCACCACAGCCTTCTGCTCCAACAATTTACTGAATAACACTTCCCTGGTGACCATGATCTTCTTGAGTTCTTCCCTTCCTTCCATTTCCTGATTTAAGGCTATTTCCAGAATATTACTCATAACTCTGTAGTAAAGATTGAAGACTTTTAGTTTATTTGCCACCTCTTTAATTTTCCATTATTAATTCTTCAGTCTCACTTTCTGTAAGACCAAAGATGAATTTGTTAATTCTTTTCCTCTATAATAATCTACAGACATTTTCACTATCTGCTAGCTTTATCTCATCACTCTAATTTTTTTACTCTTTATTACTGTGTTGATTATTCACTGCTTTAAATAAAAATTCTGTTGAATCTTCTAAACTGCCAGCCACCTTTGTACAATTACATACTTTTTCACTAGGTTTGATACTATCTTTGACATTTTTTTAAAATCATGGATGATTGGATTGGCTGTTAGTATGTTTCTTTTTCATTGAAATGTAGCTATTCTGTGTGTTCTGAAATATCCACTTAAATATCAATAGTCCATTTATATTGACTCCCCCTTAATCAAGTTACCAGCTCAGTTTAGCCAAATCTGCTTTCGTACCCATATAATGGCCCTTATTTAAGTTTAAAATACTAGTCTTAGACCCACTCTTCCTTAAAATGAATGTAAAATGCAATAAAATCATTGTCTCTGCTGCCTAGGTGTTCCTTAATTATGGAGTAATTAATTCATTCTGACCTGTTTTTCTATTCTAGCTTATTATCTGGTTGACTTCAGAACATGCTGACCCAAACAACATTCCTGAAAACATTTGGTTAATTTATTACCTGGGTTTCCTTTTTTATATGTAAAGTAAAATCCCCCAATGATTATTGCGCTACCTTTCTGACAAGCTCATATTATTCCTTTATATTCCATCCTACTGTTAGTTACTGTTAGGTTTCTTTACACCACTCCCATAAGTAATTTCTTGACTTATCTCTCGTCTTGACCCAAATTAGTTTTACATCCTGTTTTCCTGAACATTGCTTATCCCTCTGTATTGTGCTAATACCATGATTAATTAACAGAGCTTCCCCTCCACTTTTGCATTACTTCATGTCCTTCCTAAATGTCATGTACCTGTCAATATCCCATCTCAATCTATTTTATCCTGCAACCATGTCTTTTCATGGCTGTCAAATCTATTTGGGTATCCATTACTCTGTTTTGCTTCAATTGTCAAGTGCATTCAGATTTTGAACCTTCAGTTTTGTGCTTTTATTATTTTTATAACTTCTTATCTACTGATTTAATTGGAGATTTGTACTTTCTATCCCTTCATGTCATGGTCTGTTTATCTTTGCCGGTACTAATTCCTTTAGTTCTAGCCTTGTTTTTACTGCTGACAAGCCTTAGAATCATAGAGTGATACAGCACAGAAACAGTCCCGTTTGGTGCCACTCATTCATTCCGACCAAGTTTCCCAGACTAAACTAGTCCCGTTTGCCTATAGATGACAAGGTGTACAGCTGGATGAACACAGCAGGCCAAGCAGCATCAGAGGAGCAGGAAGGCTGACGTTTCGGGCCTAGACCCTTCCTGCTCCTCTGATGCTGCTTGGCCTGCTGTGTTCATCCAGCTCTACACCTTGTTATCTCAGATTCTCCAGCATCTGCAGTTCCTGCTATCCCCGTTTGCCTGTACTTGGCCCATATCCCTCTAAACCTTTCCTATTCATAGACCTGTCCAAATGTCTTTTAAAGTCTTCCCAAAATTAATCCCTTACCCTCACTGTTTACTTTTAAATCTTCTCTCCTGCCCCAGTTAGGCTGCACACTAGAACACTTATCCCAGCATGATTTAGTTGTAGATTGTGCCAGTAGGAATGCATCAACTTTCTCCAGCGCAAGTTTCAGAGCCCATGGACTGGAACCCACTTGGACCAAATCATTCTTTGAGCCACTAATTTTTCCTAATCCTTTGCTCGTTGCCTATAGCCCTGTACGTTCGTTGTTTTCAGGCATAATCCAAGTTCTGAAATTTAGGAAATGTCCTGGTGAACAAGACAAAATCTTCAACAAGAGATAGTAAGAACTGCCGATGCTGGAGTCTGAGATAACACAGCGTGGAGCTGGAGGAACACAGGAGGCCAGGTAGCATCAGAGGAGCAGGAAAGCTGACGTTTCGGGTCAGGACTCTTCTTCAGAAGAAGACCCTTCTTCAGAAACGTCAACTTTCCTGCTTCTTTGATGCTGCCTGGCCTGCTGTGTTCCTCCAGATCCACACTGTTATCTCAAAATCTTCAACAAAATGTCTTTAGTTTCAGCAATACTCAAGTTCCATACTACCAAATGGCTATTGCATCAACTTTTAAAAATAATTTAGAATTAGGAACGTTAATGGAGAGATGGCTGAACATGCTTTGAAATTGGTTTTAGAAGATTTTTGAAGGTGCAAGATGTATCAACCTTCACAGGTTTTGTAAGAAATGGTACAGCAGACTAAATGTAAACTAGAATTGTTAGGGAAAAAAAGACAATCACTCTGAGATCTGGAACAAAAACAGAAATTGCTAGCGAAGTACAATTGGTCTGGCAGCATCCGGCACCGGGGAGAAAGCAAAGTTAACATTTCGAGTCTGGTGACTTTTCAGCAGAACTGATAACAGCTAGAAAGAATTAATATTTATGTTGAAGATGCGGTTGGGAGGCATGTGTGTGGTGGGAGGAGAGGTGAGCAGATAGGTGGAATCTGAGCTGAGAGAGAGAGATATGAAAGGGATAGGCAAATGAGGGGATTGTTGATAATAGGCCAGGATGAAAGAGAAGCTGAATGAGTCATAATAAGAGCTGAGAGTAGGAGAAAATGAGATAACAAGGTGTAGAGCTGGATGAACACAGCAGGCCAAGCAGCATCAGAGGAGCAGGAAGGCTGATGTTTCGGGCCTAGACCGTTCTTCAGAAAAAATGGTTAGGTTGCGCTGAATGCAACCCATGTCGTGTGATAATAGGCCTAGAGTGGGTGTGAATGGGTTGGCTATGCTAAAAGCAAGCCATGTCATAACAGGCCCAGCTGTGGAGGTGGTAAAAAACATGAAAGGATGGAATCAGGCTGTAAAGTTATTGAACTTGATGTTGAGCCATAGAGGCATAGGCACTTTTTCTGACCTTCTATCAGTTATGTTGAACAGTCACCAGACTCAAAATGTTAATTCTGTTTTCTTCCCACAAATGCTGCCAGACATGCTGGGTTTCTCTGGCAATTTCTGTTTTTGTTTCAGATCTCCAGCATCTGCCGTTCTTTATTTTATTTGCTCAGGGATGGTGTTTGAGGAGATCGAAGAAGGAACGTGGATTAAGGCTGTGCATGGATTTGAAAGTATGGATGAGAATCTTAATGGTTTTATTTACACAGCTCAGAAAAAAAATGATTAAATAATAATATAATAAAGGGACTGTTATCTCTAGAATACAAGTATTTAATACATTCATTGTTTTCTAACAGAACTTTTACTTAGATGAGTTTGAAAACTTGCTGGATGAATTGTTGTTCCGACTGAATGCGCTCTCAAACAGCCTCCACCACTCTCTCCCAGCAAAACCACATCTTTTGGAGGACAGCCCATATGGATTGAATCGTGGCTATTACTACAACCAGCGATCTGAGGTTAGATGACTAATATTCAAATGTGATGAAAGGAATTGTGACTCTTGTGTCCATTTTGCATCTCTCCACTGGTCTTAGTTTCTTAAGACCAATGTTAAGTATTCTTTCCATATTTGACTAGTCTGAAATAATTAAGAAAGTTTACCGCAATATTTGATTTTATTTGATTTATTACTGTCACGTGTACTGATGTACAGAGGAAAGTGTTGTCATATCTGCTTTACAGGCAAATCCTACTATACAAGTGCATCAGGGGAGCAGAACAGAGTGCAGGACACAATGTTTACAGCTGCCGAGAAGGAGCAGAGAAAGGTCAACATTAGCATTAAAGAGGTCCATTCAAATGTCTGATAACAGCGGGAAATATATGTTTTGGTATTTAAATTTCAGGTAGCAGAAGTGTGAAAAACATGAGTTGGTTTCTGTGATTCCTTGGTTGGAATAAGCATATTCCATAAAAGGAAGAAAGGCAGCAATTTGACGTGAGTTGTGGGTTTCAAGTGACTGATTATGAGCAGACCTTTGACCACTCTTAGGCTGATTATAAATTTATGTTCGATCACATCATATTGTAATGCCAACTTACATTATTGAGAAATTTACATGAGTGATGATTGTAAATCCAAATTAATGTTTGGAAGTATTTAATCATCTGTTTTTTTTTAATAGAATCACACTTTTTATGAAAATCATTTGGAACATAAAATTTACAAACTTGAAGAAGAACTGTTTAGAAATAATCTGCAGTTTTATGAACTTTTGCTACCAGGAAGGGAGCGCCATTCTGATTCAGACATCACAGATTTCAAGACTTTACGGTAAAGGATTAATTGTAACGTGGGGCTGGGTTGGGAGGGGAAAGGGGCATGTACATTCCCCTGGATGCTGACATATGCCTTATGTGACATGAAAATAAATACTTTTAAACATTGACCTTTGTTTTGTTGATCTGGATGATGGTTCTGGTCCAGAACCCAGGTTATCTCCACTTCCAGTGTTGGTGAACACAGATAGATTACTGTCACCCACCCATGCTGGGCCCTCTTGAGGGCCATATATGTGGGAAATGTAGGGATCCTTCATTCTGGGACTGTTATACTAATTGCCGGATTAAGGGCAGACAAGGCTCTTACATAGTTATATGGATATTCCAATGTCAGGCTGGATTCCAATGGTGCCCGCCTAGATTTTGTGTATTCTGATACATTGGAAGGGTTGTAGATTTTCATCTCAATAATTGGCTTTTGCTGTTCTTGCCTCACGTCATTTTTAATGTTTGCTTGGAGAGATTTTTGCTGGTTCTTCCTTCCTGATAGGTCTCTCTTGTGGCAACAATTACAGAAAGACCTTTTGAGGGGAAAATGGAGCAGATAGTACTTTTGGCTGCAGTGCTAGCAGCTGAACCTGTTCTTCAATGGTAGCAACAAAGATTATGCAGCATCAAAGCATCACCTGTTCTGGGGGAATTGACTGTAGTTTGTATAGCATGGCTAGAAGTGATGCTACTTGAATAGTTTTCTTCCGTGATGGGTTTGCCAGCAACTCCTGAGTAGAGGTGGGTTGGGGAGAGGAAATTGGCTTCCGAATTATCCAGGAGCTCCTTTGATTCTTCACCACCCTGAAAATTATATTACTGGTCTGAGGCCTTGGATTTAGTTCTTTGCTTATTTCCAACCTAGTGCTTGCAAGTTGTTTAAACAGCAGTATCCTGTTCCAAGCTAACTTGGCCAGCCTCATGGTGGAAATCACTCAGAAACAGCTCCTCTGGGGCAGGATGTATGGTTCATATTGCTGATTCTAAACTCCCAAAAGAACTGCTGTACTCAGAGCCTGGTTGCAGCAGGAGACTCCTCGGAGGATAAAGGAAACAATTTAGGGATTTCCTCAAAAGATCCCTGTATAGGTCAGACATCCCTGCTGCCACATGGGAGTTCCTGGTTTGTGACCAATGAAAATGGAGAATGCTGATCTGGGAAGACACCAAACCCATTGAGAGAGTCCACACCTCATTGTTCCTCTGAAAGACTTGGCTCAGATTGGAGTATACTCCATGCTGGTGCATCCACCCGTCTGTGGTAGAGAATTGTGAAATGTTTCCTCATTTGTATTGTGATGCGGAGGTGCCAGTGTTGGACTGGGGTGGATAAGGTTGGAAGTCACACGATACTGGGTTATAGTCCAATAGGTTTGTTTGAAATCACAAGCTTTCGGACGCTGCTTCTTCGTCAGGCGGAGCTCTGAAAGTTTGTGATTTCAAATAAACCTGTTAGACTATTACTTGGTGTCGTGTGACTTTTGACTTCATCTATTTTGTGTCCTCAGTTTTGAGATTCCCATAGGGATATGTGAAAGTAGAACAACTGGAAATAATCTCTCAGTTTCTACCACGTTAAACCCCTTGAAAATCTTTAATGTTTGAATAAGATTACCCATATAGCCCCCATTATTTGCAGGTTCTGGTATTTAATTTTATTTATAACAATGGAAAAGATTATTAAATGCCAGAACAGAAAATATATGGTACGTGAACTGGTTAGACCAAATGGCCTGTTTCAAAGGTATTTATGTTCCACTCAAGCCTCCTACCATCTTTTCTCACCTATACCTGCTTTTGTAAACCTCTATTTCCATGTCCTTCTCATGTTTCTCTAGTTTCTCCTTAAATATTTTATGTTTCCATCACTCCCTTTGGTAGTGGGTTTCACATTCTCAAAATTCTTTGGGTGAAGAAGGTTCCTTCAAATTCCATATTGAGTATTTTTCTTTGGCGTCTATATTATATTTATGGTGCTTAGTTATTCTAAGGAGGAAATAGTCTCTCTATAACCTCTTTATCAAAACCGTCAATGAGTTTGAAGATCAGTTTTAAATTTCTCTTGAAAAAAGGTCAAGGTTAGGCTTGTTAGTCCTTTGCTTTATGGTACTATCACCCTTGTATTGCTTCTTGGAACCTGCTTCAGTCTGTATCCTTTTTTGAACTGCAAAGAACTGCATGCAGTATAGTCAAACGAAGATTTGATACAGGTTTAATGTAACCTCTCTACTTTGCAAATCTGTGCCGTTGGCAGGAAAGCCAATTGCTTGTGTTGCTGTTGATAATGTCCTTGCTGACCTGTTGTACAACCTTTGGTGATTGCTGTATTTGTATTTCAAGATTCCATTGTTTCACATTCCCACCTAACGTTGCATTTCCAAGTTATAGGTGACCTCCTATTCTTCCTACGAAAATGTGCTACCTCACATTGAACTGGTGCTGAGTATAATGCACCTTGAGATCTCCCAGTTCCATTTTTGGATTAAAGCACAGCTCATTGCACTACTTTGTTGTACAGAAGGCAATTTGTCCCTTCTCAGATTTGGAGTTCCTGTCCTTTGACCCTAAATCAGACTGTGTAAGTTGCAGCTAGTACATGGAGAGAGGTGGAACACCGTCTACAGAGTAGAATTGGCTCGATCAGTTGAATTCTGTCTTGAACCACCGCCTCACCCTTTCCCAGGGCTGAATTTTCATCCTAAGATGGAGTCAAGAACAGACGGTGGAGGGTGCTTAAATTTCTGCTGTCAGATTCTAGCCATGCTTTCAGAGGTAGGACTTCAGGTGTAAGGGCTACTTGGACTACAACCCACAGACAGCATGTCACAGGCCCACTAGGCCCAAAGTCCATCAGCCTGCAGATCCCCTGTGTTGTAAGGAATAAGTCAGCTACCTGAAGATGGTCTTTCTGATGATAACCCTCAGACAGGTTCTTCCTCCCCACTATCACCTTTTTTAGTTGAAAGATGGAAGCACCCTCCTCTTCCCTCACTGTAATGGGCTACAGCTCCCTACACACAGGAAGGCCTCCTATTGGCCCTCAGCTACATTGAAACCTATGCCAGAGTCCTGACCCAAACAGACAAATTCAGCCACTGAAAAGCAAGATAAAACAAAAAAAAAATCAGTGATTTGTCCCCTTTGTTTAATGCCTGATTGATATCATGGTCAGTATTGGTTGGAGGATTGGCAACATACCTCACTCCCCTCCAGTGTCCTTTCCTCCCTACCCATGTTACCCATTATAGAGTAGAATCATAGAATCTCTACAGTGTGGAAAATGGCCCATCAGCCCAAAAAGCCCATACCACCCCTCCAAAGAGCATCCCACCCTGATCCATCCTCCTATCCTTTCCCTGTAACCCTGCACTTCCCATGGCTAATCCACCTAATTTACACACCTCTGGACACTACAGGCAATTTAACATGGCCAATCCACCTAACCTGCACATCTTTGGATTGTGGGAGGAAACTGGAGCAGCAGACGGAAACCCACGCAGACATGGGGAGAATGTGCAAACTCCACACAGTCGCCCAAGGGTGGAATTGAACCCGGGTGCCTGAGGCAGCAGGGCTAACCACTGAGCCATCCATGCTGTCCAACAGCCATGCCAATCCCACCATCACAGGAAGCTGGCCAGACTAATTTCCATTGGTTTGAGGAACATGAACAACAAAGAAGTCTATTGAGTGGCAATCTTCCCCTTTGTCCTACAGTTGATGTGCTCTGTGTGCACACTTTGGCAGGATCGCTTTTAGAGAGCGGTGTTCGAATTTCAATGTCAGTACTTTTTAGGCAGTACATTTTTTGTAGCCACTGTAATTTTTTATTACTTTTTATTTCAGGTCCAAGCTCGAGTTGGACACCCTCCATCAACTAAAGTTGTGCCAAGAAAAAATGTATAAAGCATCAGAGAGCGCTCAAAATGACCATGAACCCAAGGACCCTTCAAAATATGTTGAGGCTGATCTTTCCACTGCACTGAATAATTTTTCATTCCCTGATGGCAATGTTATAAAAATTGTGCCTTATAGTACTTCAAACCCACATGAAAGAATTTGCAATTCTGTTTCAGAGTCTTGCAGTACTTCCACCCGCAATGATTCTGCACAGTCACAAGACACATTGAGTGCTGAACATTACAATCTTGCAAAATTAGGAGTCACATTGCCCCATGTGCTTTGTGGAATTAAATGCCCTGAGAAGCAGGCAGCACAGACACGCATGCTTGAGAGTAGAGTAACTAGTCAGCAACGCTGCTCCTCAGCTAGCACATTAGGTAAGAACCGCAAGCAGCTTAAACGGTCCCACACCACAGTGATTCAGATCCTTGATAACTCCAAGGAATTAGCAGTTGAAACACTTAACATTTCTGAGCAACTCGGTTTTGATCCTTCGACCCAATGCTTTGGAAGCCCCGTTATAAAATCGAGCTCCAGACAACATTCTCCGGCCAAAATGCACCAGGATAAAGTGCGAGAGGAGCAGATGGGGAGTCAAAACAAACCTGTTAAATCAACAGAAAAACTTGGAAGTTCAGTTCTATCTTCACGTGGTGACAGTGAACAGAGTGAAAATGAGGATGTTCCAGACCTTCCAGGATCCATCAAACAATGCTGGTAACAGAATGCTTCCTAATAAAATGGAGAGCCTTCATTCCTTATGGTATTCCTTATCCCTCTTGACTTCTCAAAAAAATTCCACTTTCAAGCATGTGCCTCTTGTTTTAGTCACACATGGAAAACAGATTGGCATCACCTTATGAGGAATATTAAGTATATTGGATAAATGAGCACTCTTGGAAAATGTTAGCAATTGTTTTGAGAGAGCTTAAAATTAATCTTCACATGGAAATGTTTTCACGGTCCTTGAAGTCAAAACGTTGTGTGATGTAATTCAAACTACAAAATATTATTTGAAAATTGAGAATCCAGTTTATTTCATGTCCAGGTACCACATGTATTGTTCTCTACCAATAATACCATTTTGTGTTTTGGACTGCTTCCAGTAAGAGTTACAATTCCTCTATATAATGACTATTTAGTACTTTGTTCCCCATGTTCTCATTTGCTCAAACTGAATACCTGTGCTTTCCTCATCTTTCTGCTCTTGCATGCTGTTTACCTGCACAGGTCATCCATAATTTACCTCCTCCATCACCTCTAAATATTTTTCTGTTTACTCCTAATTACAGTCCTTGCTCTCTCCTGTCCCCAAACATCCATACCTCCATATCAGCACATCTACTTTCTCATTGTTTAAATTCACTAATACAATGCCATGCAGGGGGCCCACTCTCAAAACCCTAATCATGCTTGTCTGGACTTTACTTATTAATGCTCCATGACTAGTAATATTTGTCTTCCCATTGAAATGCTGCCAACTCTGAAACCACTGCTGCAGGTTCCCACACTCTGGTATTTCTACATATGTTAAATAGAACTTATCTCCCATATGCATTGTTGAACATTTTTGCATATTGCCGTTTGTGTTGTGAACTTCAAAGTAATTGGTTTCTTAAATTAATGTAGAAGAATAAACATTCTGGCCAAAAATGCCTCTAATTTTTCCCATAAAATTTGCAGTAAAATGCAGGTTTTTTTGAATTGTTGTACATCAACACGTGCAGTGAGTTATATTTCTGAAACCACTTTATCATAGTGAAACATCCCAAGGTGCTTCACTGTGGACTTCAAAATAGCAAACAATGCCATTGGAGATCTGATTGTTTTGTCTGTTATTGGAAATCTAAATAAATTCCACTCCAGCATTAGAAATAAACGTATAGGCCATTAATAGCAACTAATTAGAATTGTTCAACTTATTTTAAATATTTTAATTCTTTCAAAGTTTACATTGTTATGTGGTCTTAATTGATAAAAGTGATATTAATCTCTAAGTAATTTACATGCATCTGCATAGATATCCAATGTAGAAATAGTTATTGTGTAATTAGATGGAAAATAGAAATTCTCACCAACATTTGAGTAAGGAGTAATACATTGCAAAATTTGACGGTTTTAATGGTCCTCCCCTTTGTTGATTATTTATTTTGGATGTAATTGGCTGTTTAACCAAAGATGGACATAAAACTTAGTAGCGTATATGGATTGAGGAACAATCGAAATACTTTGTTAGCTTTACATTTCAGTATGACAATGACAGTATCTACTTTTGGATTCAAAAGAAGCACACAATCGTTCTTACACCAGTACATTGATGCAGCATTTTGGGGCTTATTGAACGTTTCCACTGATATTCAGTGGAACTAATTGTAACATCAACAGGATGTGCTTGTGGTTTTTACATTTCGTAATGTTACAAGGTCATTACTACAGGCAAAAATAAAATAACATTGTAATTCATTGATATCTCTCGCAGTGATAGATCTTTCACTTCACATACTGCCAGGAGGCAAATATGCAAGAATACAGAGTTAATTGGTTCAGAGTTTTCATGTCATCCGTTGTTTTCAAGCTGCTGCAATGTAATCCAGTTTATAGGATTTTGTTTTTCTTTTGGCATTCGTTGCAGGAAAACCCCTCCCCAAAAAAAACATTTCCACAACTGGAAGGTATTGAAGTTTCTCTGATCAAATCATTTGATCATTGATCCATGCTGTGTTAATGGTAATTGCAATGGTTGTCGGGACAGATCGGGTTCTTCTTGCTCACCAGCTTGGACCCTTTGTGAAAATGAATGTTTGTTCACGTGAAGGCCAGTATTGACATTAGTAGTCTCCTTCATTGAAACACCAGTCATTGATTCACCTCGAACATGATGATGGTCATCTCAGCAAAGTCCCATAGGCTGTCTCTGTCTATCGAATTGTACTCTGGACTAGTCTAACTCAGAGATATTAACAGCAAGAAAAGTCAGGTACATTTAGATTATAGATAATACTGTTAGTGTTATTGTTTCATAACAGGAAATAGAGGTACTGTAGATTGATTGCACTCCTTAGCACTGATAATAAGAGAGCCTATTTCAATCTTGTAAGATAGTGCTGCTTAAAGATTGACTGACTATATAGAAGAATACATCCGTGCCTGGGTTTTTGATAAGGACAAAACAAGAGCTTGCATGTTTTTCTTAAAGGTTAGTATTCATGAAATTATATCCCAGTGAAACTTACGGCTTTCAAGAATGGAAAGGAAATAGGGAGCAAATTAGACAAGTGTTATAAAGTGCATAAATATATAGGCCATTATTTCTGGACTGAGAGAAATGGATAAGTACAATTTTTAATTTCTACAGTTATTTACTGTTTCCTCATATTGCCTTTGTGGTATATATTATCCTGTTCCTTCTTTTAACTTTATTAATGAAGTTCACAACAATGATGTATCTATAATGGTTGAATAGATTGGATTCCCAGGCTTAGAACATTTATTTTATGATGCAGTTATCATTCTTTATTGAATCTTAGACAGTTTTTGCCATTTCTGCTGATGTTCCACTGGATGCTGGCTTTCAGAAGTCTGTCTAAACTAGAAAACACTTTAATAATTTTTTAACCAACTTTTCTGATCTGTTAGGAAATCTCTTGCACATGATTTCAATCTTCCATACTTCAACCTGATGAAACAGTTTATACCAAATACAGTTGCGCTGGTTCTGATCCAAGTTTCCTTTGACAGGTTTGAATACTTCTCAAAATCCCAGTTACCCATGTAGCTAGAAGAATCAGTAGCAAGTGCTCCAACCAAAAGAAGCAAGCATTTCATTGAATTTAAAATGGATAAGGGAAATGTGAACCTTGTTCATAAGGTACTTACCCCTCTTTACTCCTATGAAGAAGTATTTGCATGGATGGTTAGAAGATTGTATAGCATAATCTGGTTAAAGCAAATTATTTAAGGAGGTCCTTAACATAATGAAAGATGCTTTCAAATATTACTGCAAAGTTCCTGCCATACTGTCTCTCTCTGTTGAGGTTTGTTAATAGAGTTAATTTTTACTTATTTCTGAATAAAAGCAATATTTTTGCAGAAAATAGCAGAACAACATTACCATTTCCACTAGCATCCAGCTGCAGAAGATTGCAGACTAATTTCACATTTGATTTTTCTGCAGCTCGAAACATTTGGAAACAATTACATAAAGTAACCTTTGAACAAAATAATTTACTGATGTGTAATTAAACTTGATTTTTAGTTCTGCATTTAAATGCCCAACTTAAACTTTCATAAGATGGCCTGAGATTAAGCCAGTCTGTTCACCATCTAGGTAGCATATTTTATCCTGAAAATCTCATTTTCATGTCACCACTAAGAATGCCTGTTTCCACTTCCATGACATCTGCCCCTGCTTCTGCTCATCTGTTCATAACGCTCATTCACGCTTTTGTTACTTCCAGACTTGATTATTGCAATTTACTTCAAGCAGGTCTCCCATATTCTACCTACCATAAACTTGAGGTCATACAAACCTGCTGCCTGGCCTCCATTCACAGTAGGTTGTTGCTGCCAGGAACAGGGACAGAAATTGCAGTGTTCTGCGGTGCTCCTAGCCCAGGCCACTACCTCCGATTCAAGCGTAGTGTCTTGCCATACGAGCACAGCAGATGAACTAGAGGCTGGTCCCCCCCAGTTATTGGGATCGGATATGACCACTGCCCTCTGTCCTGGTCTCTACCTGTTACCCATGTAGCCACTGGCCTTCATTGACTCCCTGTCAAGGTATGTTTCAATTTTAAAATTCTCATCCTGTACGCAAGTCCTTCCCTGGCCTTGAGCCTTCCTATTTCCATAATCTCCTTCAACACCACAACTCTCAGATATCTATGCTTCTCTACTTCTGGCCTAGAATCATACAGTACAGAAGAGGCCCTTCATTCCATCGAGTCTGTACTACCAAAAATACACTACAACCTTTTCCATTCCCATTTTCCTGGACCAGGCCCATAGTTTTGAATATTATGACACTGGAGTGTTCATCCAAGTACTTTTTAAATTTGCAAGGCTACCTGCGTCTACTAACCTCCCAGGTGGTGTATTCCAGATCTTCACCACCTTCTGGGAGGCAATGGCCTAGTAGTACTATCGCTGGACTGTTAATCCAGAGACCCAGGTTCAAATCCTGCTGTGGCAGATGGTAGAATTTGAATTCAATAAAAATCTGGAATTAAGAGTCTAATGATGACCATGGAACCATTGTTGATTGTCAGGTAAAACTCATCGGGCTCACTAATGTCCCTTAGGGAAAGAAACTGCCATCCTTACCTGGTCTGGCCTAGATGTAACACCAGACCCATGACAATGTGGTTGACTCTTAACAATTAGGGACGGGCAATATATGCAGGCCTGGCCAACAACACGTTCGTTAGGGACAGTCAATAAATGCCGGCCAGCCAGCGACGCCCACATCCCAAAAAATGAATAAATTGAAAAAAACTTCTCCCAAATCCCCTCTAAACCTCCTGCCTTTTGACTTTAAAAGTGTGCCTTCTTGTTCGTGACCATTCGACTAAGGGGTATGGCTACTTTCCATTCAACCTGTCCATGACCTTCATAATGATATACTCCTCAGTCAGGATCCCCCTCAACCTTTTCTGCTCTGAAGGAAACAACATGAGCTTATCCAACCTCTCTTCATTGTTCTTGAGCATTCTCAATATTGATTGCTCCCCATTGATGGCTGTGGCTTCAGTTGCCTGAGTCCTGTACTCGGGAATATTTTCCCGTTACTTCTTCACCTCTCATTGTCACTCTCTTCCTTTAAGTCCATGCTGCTTAAAATCTATTTCTTTGACTAAGTTTTGGGCATCTGACCTATAATCTCCTTATGTGTCATGGTCTCCTATTTTGTTTTACCACACTGCTATGAATCTCCTTTGAGATGAATAATTACAGCGATTCCCAATTTACGAATGTCCAACTTTCGAACACTCATATACAAACGCGATCTTGTGTGGTTGTAATTTTAAAGACCCAGCATATGAACATTTCTCATACTTACAAACAGCTATTCCATTGTCCTGCAGTTCTGACTTGTGTGTAATTCGTAGAATCCCTACAGTGCAGAAAGAGTTTGTACCGACCCGCTGAACAGCATCTCACCCAGATCCACCCCATTCCTGTAACCCTGCATTTCCCATGGCTAACCCACCTAGCCTGCACGTCCCTGGATACTACAGAGCAATTTATCATGGCCAATCCACCTAACCACACTTTTGGACTGTGGGAGAAAACCAGACCACCTGGAGTAAACCCAGACAGACACGGGGACAATGTGCAAACTCCACACAGATAGTCACCTAAGGCTGGATTCAGACCGGGTCCCTGATGCTGTGAGGCAGCAGTGCTAACCGCTGAGCCACCGTGCCACTCCAAATCAACTTGTGAAAGGATCCCAAAATGAAACCCATTTCCAACCTGGGAACTGTGTGTACATTAATTTTGCAATATGAATGCAAGTTGCAGTTCAAGACAGTTTCATGGTCTGTTCTGGCTTCCTTTGGCAATTTATTGACAATTTCAGGAACTCCAGAATTAAACTCATAGATTTGCAATTTTCGCTGGTTAGGGACTTTATAATGTTATGGATCCAAATTGATACTTTTTTTCCTGCATTGTACTGGAATTTCTTCTTCATATGTGCAACTTAATGATCACATCCTGAAAGGTGTGGCTTTAAAATGCAAATGTATAAGCTTGGATATCTGTCTTTAAGGTATAACAAGAGAGCTTAGCTTCTATCAAATTCATCTGTCTGTTTTTGAAAGGAGGTATGAACAGATTAATTTGGTCAGACTAACGTTTTCATTAAAATGTTGAATGATGAACTTAGCAACCAGAAAAGGTGACCTTTTACTAGAAAGCTTTGCAAAATTTCAAGACCATATTCTTTTGTGTTCAGGTGAAATTGTGAAGAATTTCTGGACTTTGTGTTGTCCACATGG